GCCCCGGCTGAGGCACCTGGAACTTCTTGCCTCTTTCCATCTGTTAAAACAGTTACCATTTGACAAGCGCTAAGTGTTTGGTCTTTGTTTTTATTGAATCACCCCAGCAATGCTAGAGTCAGGTGTTAGGATCTCATTTTACACATGTGAAGTCTGGGGGTCAATGACTCTGCCACACCTGGTGAATGACAGGTTTAGCACCTGGATGGGTCCAACTGCTTCTGCTTCTGAACCCCCTTGACCTGCTCTTTCTGTCTTCCTCTGGTGCTCTGTCTGCCTCCCTGGACTCTCCCTGCGTCTCCCTCTGTGTGACTCCCTCCTCCCCTTTCTCCTTCCTGATCACCAGAGGTGGGCGCGTATTATCTTTAATATATTGGTCCTATCTACAGAGGCAAGTTTTGAGCCCACTATGCTTATTTTTAACTGAGTTCAATCATTCAAATGTCTTTTTCTTTTTTAACTGAAAAACACCTAAACCAAATTAAATAGCTCCTGCTTACTATTAGAAAAAATCTGCCCAACCCCAGTTTACATTCTGCCCTGTCTTGGCTGGACTTGAAGAATTCCCCCAAGGACAAAGACCTGGGCCCTGTCTTGAAAAGGGGACCATGAAGCACAGAGGTAACTCACCTCCCAGAGAAGGTGGGCTTCCCAGAGTGGCCTGGAGGTGCATGTATGGTGGTTTCCCGGTGAGTGAGGGACGTGCCCTCAGGAACTCAGGCCTGCCAGCTCCCAGGAGCCAGGTGACCCTTCCATGGTGGCTCCCTTCCCTGGGGACATCCCACACACACCCCACCATCTTGAAAAGACTGAAGAGAGGGGTCTTGAAACTCCTTCAGAAAGGAAGAACTCTAAGGGGCTGGCAAGGTTCCCAAAAACAAGTATCACTTAGTTTGAGGCAGGAGTGACAGGAAGGAGGTGTTGGGGCCCAGGATTTGGGGGTAAGGGGAGGTAAAGGCAGGGAGCTACTCCACAAATTGGGAAAGTGCCAGGTACTGTAGGGGCAGGGGAATAAGAGAGGCTTCCAGTCTCCTGAGCAACCCCCCCCACCACCACAGAAGCCCCATAAGGAGAGTAGTGACAAGCCCTGGGGGAGCCCATCCCCACCCGTTCACTCCCCAACAACGCTGGGCAGGGGGTGTGGAGGGATTCGGGTGGACTGCCCAAGTGGTCCATGACAAGCTGCAGATCTCGCATGCCTTACTCTGGGCTGAAGAGAGTAAGAAACAAGAGATGAGGGAAACCGGAAGAGAGGCAATACTTTGATTCAGAACAAAGTGAGAGTTGAGGGGTAAGCGTGTTCGCAGCTGCCCAACCCATGGGTCTGAAAAACCAGGACTCCACTTTCCACGTGAGCTGGTGGCCTGGGGGACAGGGGAAGAAGCACAAATTGAATGGGTATGATGGAAGGAGGCCTGGCATTTTCTTCTCTGTGACCCCCTAATTCAGGACTGCCGCCTTCAAATATTTTGAGCAGACTGGCTCCCACCCTTGGATATCGTTCTCTGATGCTCTCTGAGACCCTTGCCTGTCTTTTAAAAGGATCTCTGTTTTTCTCACCATCTGCTCCTCCTACTTTGGATTCACTGTGATGGAATGAAAGTAAAGTTTCACTGTCACTGTACCATCGAGTGGCTGGGATGGGGTGGGGAGGGGTGTCGTCATTCAGCACCAGTGGCCTTTTGTTTCTATGCAAAGAACAAATGTGCCAACCTGGGCGCCTGGGTGGCTTAATCAGTTAAGGGCCTGCCTTCAGCTCAGGTCATGATCTCAGGGTCCTGGAATCGAGTCCCACATGAGGCTCCCTGCTCAGAGAGGAGTCTGCTTCTCCCTCTGCCTGCTGCTCCCCCCTGCTTGTGCTCCCTCTCTCTCTGTGTCAAATAAATAAATAAAATCTACCCAAAAACATGCCAGGCTAGCCTCTGACACCGGAACCCTAATAAAAGAGCGAGCTGAGTTACAATGGTGAGAATGGGAACTAAAAGATAACATTCAAAATACAAGAAAAGGCCTAAAGGCCTTGTGCCCAAAGGCCAGTGAGTCACCCTTGTCCCTACGTCTCCCAGGGGTTAATAGGCTGATGTCTGACCTTGGGGACTGGCCGAGGAAGCTATACACAGCCCTTCTCTGGCATATGGGGCAAACAGTATGAGTGGTGGTTAGAAAGATATGAAGCAAGTTGGAGAAATTATTTACAACAAACTATCTGGGGGACAAATGTCAAGAGCCAACAAGGAACGGGCGCTACTGTTGCATTAAGGAAAGAAGAGGGAGAGGCGCCTGGGTGGCTCAGTTGGTTAAGTGACTGCCTTCAGCTCAGGTCATGATCCCAGGGTCCCAGCATTGAGTCCCAGGATCATGTCCACTCAGCACGAAGTCTGCTTCTCCCTCTCACCAAACCCGCCTTGTGCTCGCTCTCAAATAAATAAGTAAAATCTTAAAAAAAAAAAAAAAAAAGGAAAGGAGAGAAACATACTAGGACTGTACTTCTGAAACTATCAGAGGCAAAGGACTGGTTTGTTTTTATAACATTTCCATCCATCACAAACCAACAGTTTGGTAAAATACGGTAAAAATAAGTGACAAACATACATCAATCAAAGGACTGGTCTTTTTAAAAACTCTCAAGGCGGGTGGGGGGAGGTGATGCCTGAGTGGCTCAGTCAGCTGGGCAACTGCCTTTGGCTCAGGTCATGATCCTGGAGTCCCAGGATCGAGTTCCGATTCAGGTTCCCTGCTAGGCGGGAAGTCTGCTTCTCCCTCTCTCCTTCCCCCTCATGCTCTCTCTCTCTCTCTCTCTCTTATTCTCTCCCTCTTAAATAAATAAAATCTTTTTAAAAATAAATAAAAATAAAATAAAAACTCTCAAGGGGAGTGTGGGTGGCACAATGGGTTGAGTGTCCGACTCTTGGTTTCAGCTCCGGTGGTGATTTCAGGATCATGGGATTGAGCTCCTTGTCAGTGCAGAGTCTGCTTAGGACTGTCTCTTGATCTCTCTCTCAAATAAATAAATTAACCTTGAAAGATAAACTAATAAAAACTCAAAATTCAACAGTGGAAAAACACCAAAACAATCCAACAAGAAATGGGCATTAGACACTCACAGACCCTTCACCAAAGAGGATGGCATGTAAGCACATAAAATCGTGTTCACTCCCCTTCTCTACTGGGAAATGCAAATGAAAACCTCATGAGGCCTCACTATGCACCTATCAGAAGGGCTGCAGCAAGGGGCACTGGGTGGTTCAGTCAGTTAGGCATCTGCCTTTGGCTCAGGTCACGATCCCAGGACCCTGAGTTCGAGCCCTGCATTGGGGTCCCCTGAGTTCGAGCCCTGCATCGGGGTCCCTGCTCAGCAGGGATCCCGCTTCTCCCTCTCCCCCGCCTCTCCCCCTGCTTGTGCTTTCTTTCTCTCTCTGGCTCAAATAAATAAATAACATCTTTTAAGAAAGGGGGGGGTGCTGCAGCAGGTTCCTGGGGCTGCATAGCAAATTACCACAAACTGGGTGGCTTCAAACAACAGAAATGTATTCTCTCACAGTTTTGGAAGCTAGAGGACTGAGATCAAAGTGCTGGCAGGGCCCAGCTCCCTGTGAAGGCGAGGGAATTCTTCCTGGCTTTTCCAGCCTCCTGTGGCTGCTAGCAATCCTCCCCTTCCTTGGCTTGAGGCTGTGTCTCCCTGCCCTTTGTCACATGGCCTCCTTCCCTGTGTGTCTGTGCCTTCCCACGGCCTTCTTGGAAGCACACCAGTCACTAGATTTTGGGCACACCCTAATCCCAGATGACTTCTCCTTAATTTGACTGCATCCTCGAAGACCTTATTCCCACCCAAGCTCACACTCACAGGTACTGGAGGTTAGGAGTTGAACATACCTTTGAGGGGGCCACGCACAATTCAACCCACAACAGTGGCTGGAATACAAAATAGAGTCAACCACAAATGCTAACTAGGACGTGAAGAACTAGAACTAGTTGGAGAAGAGTCTGAAGGTTCTTATAAAACTAAATACATACCATACATCTCAGCGATCACGGTCTTGGGTGTTTCTCTCAGAGAAACGGAAATTCAGATGCACACAAAAATCTGCACGAGATGCTCGTAGCAGCTTCATTCCTAGTAAACGAGACACGGAAGCCACTCGAAGGTCTCTCGGCCAGTGAAAGGGTTAAACAAACGGGGTGCATCTCTACCATGGACTAGTGCTTGGCCACAGGAAGGAGGGAGATGCTGACACCTGTCACAACGTGGCTGGATCTCCAGGACACTTAGGCTCAGTGAAAAAGCCAGTCTCAAAAGACTACATGCTATGTGATTCCATTGACATGAATTCCCTCCCCCTTTTAAAGATTTTTCTTTTATTCATTTGAGAGTGAGAGAAGAGAGCATGAGCAGGGGGAGGGATGAAGAGGGAGAAGCAGGCTTCCCACCAAGCAGGGAGCCCAACGCAGGGCTCAATCTGGGGACTCTGGGACCATGACCTGAGGTGAGGGCAGATGCTTAACAAACTGAGGCCCCCAGATGCCCCCATTTATGTGACTTCTTAAAATGATAAAACTTTAGCTATGGAGAACAAAGTCCTAGTTGCCAGGGACAGTGTTAGGGGTGGCGTACAAGACTTTTAGGGGTAGCAGCAGAGAACTGTTTTAAGTTCTATGTCTTGGTTATTGTGAGGCCTACAGGATCTGAGAGCAAATTGCACAGAAGGACACACATGGACACCTGCACGCACACACACACACATACATGGCTAGTCCGTCATCCAGTTAACAGTACGAGTACGGAACCAACATCAGTTTCCGGATTTTGATATCAGGCCACTGTTACAGAAGATGTCACCGTAAGGGGAAACTCGGCAAAAGAGTCGTGGAATGCTGTGTTATTTTTGTAGCTTTCTGGGAGTCTATGATTATTTCAAAATAAAAAGTTAAAAAGTTAAGTATTAGGAAAATGAAATGAAAAGCTGATTTGCAAAAGACAAGCACCGATTTGTAAATCACAGATTCCACAGATGCAGAACAACTATGCGGGGTTCCGGCAGGAGTTTCTCAAAGTTTTCTGCACCTGCTGTGCCGAGGGGCAGTAACAAACATCTGGCAGTAATGAACATCTGGCACAATGGCACCAGGCCACAGATCACACTTGGAGGAGCACCTGCTCAGAGATAAGAAAATACTAGAGGTGGAATGTTTTCCCTTCTTTGGCTTAATTATTTTGTGGTGGAGATATACTGCTGTTTGAAATGAAACTTGATTTAAAATATGTATTGATAATAACTCCATAATAATAATAACAATAATAACAATAAATATATATTTATATAAATTTCTGTTTCGAAATTATAACTTTATATTATTAAATTTTAAAAAATAAAATATTTATTTCCTCCCAATGCTCGTTTATTTTTTTCCCAATGCTGGTTTATAGATTAAAAACACAGTTGATGTAAACCACAGCCAGCCCTCAGTGTGCCTGGTTCTGTCACCTCTCCCTCCCACTCCTTCCCTCTCCCCTTCCCCTAACTTTACCTCCCACCCCACCCCCAACCCCTTCTCTCTCCCTGGGCTGTAGGCCCACCACCTCCCACTTTCCCGCTCCCCTGCTCCCCCTAGTGGCAGGTCCTGGGCTCTTGCCCCACCTGCCCCCAACACCAGGGACAGAACCTCTCTGAGCACGTTCCCTAGTGTGTGGTGGTGATGAGACCCACCTCAGAGCTGTCACATGAGGAGTCAATGAGATCACCCACGTGGCAAGGGCTCTGAAAACCTCTCGGGAATGTGCACGTGCAGAGTGGGCCTTTCTGGCAGCACGCCGTTGTCCCCCCAGGCACCTCCGTGGTCAACCACTAGCTGTGGTCAATCTCCCAAGTCTTTGTTCCCAACTCACCCTTCCCTCTCAGGGAAACCGGGCCCCTCCTTCTCCACCCCCCACCCCCACCCCCACTTCACCCAGCCCCTCAGAGTTACGTGTGTCCTGCTCTTCCAGCTGCCCAGGGGAAGAGGTGAGCAAAGCTGCTGTAGTTGTTGGTTTTTTTTTAACTCTGCTACAACTTGAGGCCCTGTTAATTCTCCCACTTGTAGTAATAGTAGTAGTAGTAGTAGTAGTAGTAGTAATGAATACATTCATACTGGCAAACTCAGTGAGCACTTAGAAGGTGCCAGACACTATTCCAAGACCTACCTGTGTATTAATTCATTTAATGCTCCCAACCATCCTATGGGGTGGGTTCTGTTCTAAGCCCAATTTACAGATTAAGAAACTGAGGCCAGCAAGCAGGGAAATAGTTTGCCCAAGGCCAACTAGCTAGAGAGCCCCACCCTGTTCTCCACAACGCTACCCATGTTTCCTGGCAGGTCTCCTCCTCCTGCTCTACCTTACCCAGCTCAGTGCCTGGCACAGCCCAGCAGCTCTGGGAATCTTTGCTGATCGAATGAATGAGGAGCAAGTAAAGGCGGCCCAGTGTCATGAGCCTACAAAGCTGTTCTTCCCTGCCATCGAGGGGCCAGGCAGAGGTCTCGGGGGTGGCCACACAGGGCAGCCTGAGCACCCTGCCTGCTGCTGCCCAGGAGGCAAGTGAGAACCTTGTCCTTCCCACCTCTGTCCTGCCCCTTCCAGGCTGGGTCTCAGCACTTCACTCCCTAGGAAATTTGCTTCTAAGTTTCCTTCTTTCTCTCTCAAGCCCAAGCTGCTGTCAGGCACTTGCCACCTTCTCCTGTCCCTAGATAAATATATCTACCTCGCAGCTCATCAGCTAATCACGCTGGGCCGTGCTGGGATCTGGTCGTTCCTAACCTTCTCTCCTCTGCTCGGACTTTACCCCGAAGGGTCTCCTCTTTGCCGCAGACTAACCCATTTTCCTGAACTCTTCAAATTCTCTCCCTACCAAGCTCCACTCTACCTCCTAAATCTCCCTGCTTCCTTTTCAAGCTACCTATTTATTTCCTTCATTATCATTAATATAATTATTTGAAAGTCTTCCAGATTGTTCTATTTTCTCAAAGCTGGGAGACACAAATCCTCCCACTTGTGTTGTAAGCTCCTGCTCACAGGAACTCAGCTCCTCACGTGTTTTATAATTTCTGATTGTGCGCTTAAGCTGGGGGCTGTTTCCCTCGTGGATGGCCCAAGTGGCCTGGGTCATGAAAGTTCCCTCCAGACATGATTTTACCTTATTTCTCCTGAGACTACTCCCACCATCACCACCACCACTACTCAATATCCATCCCACTCCAGACCAATTTAAGAATTCCCAAGTTTTGGGGAGCCTAGATGGCTCAGTCGGTTAAGCATCTGCCTTTGGCTCAGGTCATGATCCTGGGGTCCTGGGATCGAGCCCTGCATCAGGCTACCTGCATCAGGCTACCTCTGCCCCTCCCCTGCCTATGAGCATTCTCTCTCAAATAAATAAAATCTTAAAAAAAAAAAAAGAATTCCCAAGGTTTGTCTGTGGTAAAAAATGCACACCATAAAATTTACTATCTTACCCATTTTTATGCATAGATTTCATTGACATTAACTACCTTCACATTGTTGTGAAGCATCACCACATCTGTTTCCAGAACTTTTTCATCTTCCCAAACTGAAACTGTACCCATTAAAAAATGACTCTTCATCTCCCTCTCCTCCAGCCCCTGGAAACTACCATTCTACTTTCTGTCTCTATGAATCTGACTCCTCTGTGTCCCTCATATAAGTGGAATAATACAATATTTGTATTTTTTGTGTCTGGCTTATTTCACTTAGCAGAATGTCTTCAGAGTTCAACCAACTGAGCCACCCAGGCGTCCCAGAATGTCTTCAGAGTTCATCCATGTTGTAGCCTGTGACAGGATTCCCTTCCTTTTTTAAGGCTGAATAATATTTCATTGTATACAAGGATCACATTTTGTTTATCCAGTGTTCATTGATGGCAATTTGGGTCCTTTCCACCTTTTAGCTATTGCAAATAGTGCTGCTACAAACATTGGTGTGTCACTCTCTGTTCAAATCTCTGCTTTAACTTCTTTTGGATATATATCCAGAAGTGGACTTGTTGGATCGTAATATCACTCTGTTTAGTTTTTCTCAGTAACCACCATACTATCTTCCAGAGTGGTTGCACCATTTTACATTTTCAGCAGCAATGCACAAGTGTGTCAATTTCACTGTATATTTGCCAACACTTGCTATTTTGGGGGGAGCGTTGTTGTTATAATAGCCATCCTAATGGGTATGAAGTGATATCTTATTGTGGTTTTGATTTGCATTTCCCTAATGACTGGTGACTTTTCACATGCTTTTTGCTCACTTGTATATCTTCTTTGGAGAAATGTCCTTTGTCCTTTGTCCATTTTTAAATAAGATTGTTTAGGTTGTTTTATTCTTGAATTGTAGGAGTCCTTTGTATACATTAATCCCTTATCAGATATATAATCTGATAATATTTTCTCCTATTCCATGGGTTCCCTTTTCACTCCATTGATTTCATCCTTTGAGATGAAATCTGTCTATATTTTCTGTTGTTGCCTTTATTTTAGTGTCACACCTAAAAAAATCCTTTCCAAATCCAGTATCATGAAGTTTTTCCCTTATGTTTTCTTCTCTTGTTTTGTAGTTTTAGCTCTTATACATAGGTCTCTGATTCATTTCGTGTTGATTTTTGTATAAAGTGCAAAGTAAAGGTCCAATTTCTTTCTTTTGCATGTGGCTATCCAGTTTCCCCAACACAGTTTGTTGAAAAGACTGCCCTTTCCCCTTTAAATGGTCTTGACACCCTTGTCAAAAATCATTTGATCATATATCAAGAGTTTATTACTGGGATCTCTAGTGTATTCCATTGGGCTATGACTGTTTTTATGTCAATACCACACTATTTTGATTACTGTAGCTTTGAAGTAAGTTTTAAAATCAGGAAATGTGAGACCTCCAACTTTGTTTCTCTTTCTCAAGATTGTTTGGAGTCCTTCAAGATTCCATATGATTTTTTGGGATGGATTTTTCTATTTCTGCAAATACATCATTGGGATTTTGATAAGGATTGCACTGACCCTGTAGATTGCTTTCAGTAGTATTAAGACTTCTAATCCATTAACATGGGATGTCTTTTCATTTATTTGTATCTTCTTTAATTTCTTTCGCCAATGTTTTATAGTTTTAAATGTGCAAGTCTGTTGCCTCCTTGGTTAAGTTTACTGCTAAGTATTTTATTCTTTTTATTGCTATTGTAAATGGGGTTGTTCCCTTAATTTCCTTTTTGAGCTATTCATTGTTAGTTCTAACAGGTGTGTGTGTGTGTGTGTTGTGTATGATCCAAGTTGTTTTTGTTTTTGCTTTTGTTTTTACCCAGAGATCTGAGCAGAAACAAGTTTTCCTGCCACTTTCAAAGCCAGTGAGTAGGCTTTTTCTAGGTCCCTGTTCACTGAGAGCTCAGGCTCTAAGGATCCCAGCTCAACCCAAGAGTACTGGCTTCGCCCCTTTCCTTCCCTTCCCTTCCCTTTTTAAGATTTTATTTCTTTATTTGAGAGAGAGAAAGCAAGCATTTAAAACAGAGTGAGAGCACAAGCAGGGCAAGTGGAGAGGGGGAGGTAGAGGGAGAAACAGACTCCCCACCAAGCAGGGAGACCGACTGGGGCTGGATCCAGGACCCTGGGATTATGACCCAAGCCGAAGGCGGATGCTTAACTGACTGAGCCACCCAGGTGCCCCAAGAGTACTGGTTTCAATTTCCTGCCTCATGAAGGCCAGGAACTTGGTTCCTTCCCTTCATGATCATTACAGAGGAAGTGCTTGCCCCTGGGCCTACTTCCCTTCTAATACACTCCCCTCAGAACTCCTGCCACATCAGCTCAGTCATTCCTCTGCTTTTCTGTTCTCTCTTGATTTCTAAAACAGATACATTCTATTTCCTAGATATTCAGAGCAGGAAAGATCCCAGCGTCCCACTTCCAAAAGAGCACCTCAAGCCAATGCATTCACAAAGGGTATGCAGAAGCTAACATTTTATCCATAGTGAAAAGCCCTATTCCAGGATACAACTAGAGTGGGAAACACTGTGGTCTCTTCTCCTGTGGGCAGGAGTCCTTCATCCCCTGGGACTGGGAGCTGGCCAAGGCCATGCCCTGTGGGTAGTTGTTGTCTACTGTTTCTGAGTGGCAAGTACCGTCCTGGGCACCTTACATGCATTTGACCTCACTTAATCCTCCTTCCACCGCTGTGAGGTAGGTACTATTACTCCACTGATCTGATTAAGAAAACTGGCAAAAACCCAGTCAGCAAAGGAGCAGAACCAGGATTCAGGTTTTGGTTGGCCTG